CCTTCTCAAATTGAAGGGGAGAAATAGACAATACAAACAACAATACAAACGAGTGTTTAATAATTAAAATAATGAAACAGACAATAGAATAACAAGAACGGACAACAATGATACAGACAACACTGATCCTAACAAAAAAGGAAAAGTGGCAGAACCAACAGACTTAACAGACAACAAAGTTAAATTAACTGAAAAAGAAGTAGAACCTAAATTATGTTGATTGGAACAAAAACAGAAACTGACAGAACATGCTATCAAGCTTGAACAATGTATGGAGAATAAACGTGTAACAAAACACATGTATACACTTAGTAAAAAGGATGAAGATAATATTGCCATTCATTTAACAGAATTTAATGCTAAAATAAGTGAAATACAATCGGATCCAACTTCATTTTATGAAGCAATCCAATGTCCAGATTGTGATTCATGGATTACAGCTATGAAAGACGAAATAAAACAATTAGAAAATCATAATACATGGGAAATCATGAATCCACACAATAATATTAACATCATCAGAACACAATTTGTCTATAAAATAAAGCAATACACTGATAATAGCATAGAAAAATATAAAGCACAATTAGTAGTTCAAGGAAACTATCAGATTGATGGCCTTGACTATCATACAGACAATTTATTTGCTCCTACTGCTAGACTATCTATAGCATGATTAATATTAGCATGGGCAGCATCTAATAATTATGAAATACATCAGATAGATATAAAATCAGTATATCTCTATGGACAATTGATGGAAGACAAGGAAATATATGTTAAACCTCCTCCAGGTAACTTAATAGACAGATTACAGAATGGACAAATATTACAATTACAAAAAGTGCTATACAGATTAAAACAAGCTGGTAGAAGATGGTATAAAATGCTATCTAATATACTACTTAAATGCAGATTAACAAAATCCAAACATGATAATGCTGTATTCTTTGCAAAGAAGAAAGAAATAACTGTAGCCATATTATTTGTACATGTTGACAATATTACTATTGTGGCAAAGAATAATAATACTATTGTAATGATAAAACAATCTATTACACATTATTTACAATATACAGACAGCAGTGAATTACACTGGCTACTTAGTATAGAGATTCAACACAACAGAGAGCATAGATTCATCAGGATGTGTCAGACACATTATATTAATAGTATAATAGAACGTTACAAACTTACAAATGAACAAAGTGTACAAACACCCATGCAGCCTAGTACACAATTAAAAACAGTATTGCAAACTGATAACAATAGAAAACAAATGTCTGATATACTATACATGAACATGGTTGGTGCACTTAGATACATTGCAGACTGTACACAGTCAGATATAGCATTTGCAACAAATCAGTTAGCAAAATACCTTAATGACCCTGGTATGGAGCATTATCTGGCACTTAAACATTGTTACATGTACTTAAAAACTACAAACAATGTCTGGCTCCAACTTGGTGGTACAAATCAATCAATATTGAATGGCTATACAGACACAGACAGTATAATGCAAGAAGGGCATTGTGCAATATCAGGATATGCATTTTACTTGAGTGATTCATTAGTTTCATGGTCAAGTAAAAGACAAACACTGGTGGCAAATTCGATGTATGAAGCTGAATTAATAGCTCTTGCAAGAGGAACACAGGAAGCAATTGCACTTACACATTTAGCTGAAGAGATTCTGTAGGTCTCTGATGCACCAATTAATATCTTTTGCAATAACAATGCTGTTATACAAACAGTTACATTGGACAAACTCAAATATTTGGAACGAACAAAGCATTTAGATCATAAGAAAGATTTTATTAAATGCTACATTGAGTTAGAGTACATAAATGCAAAATACATACAGACAAACAATCAACAAGCAGATATATTAACTAAAGCACTACATGTACCACAAGTCAAACATCTTACCAGTTTACTTGGACTAGTAAGAGTTTGAAGGGGAGTATTATGAGATGATTAGTTTATCAACAGACAAACCATGAGACAATGACTTCATAATGTCTCAGTTAGAATACATACAATATAAGGATGAGAGACACTGAGCAGTCAATTGTCACCTCACCCCTTGTCTATGCGTGCCCCCCTTAAGTTCTCCCTCTCAACAGGGTCACAATAGGTCTGGTCCAATCAGGTCCAGAACAGGTTCAGTTCTGGGTCCAGGAAATGCTGTATTTTCCTGGACCAGACTGGACCTTAAGGACTGAGGACTGGACCCAGGACTCATGTTTCTATTTTAATACAAGAACACCTAGTTGAGTTGACATA